CGGCGAGTGATTTCCCCGCAAACGCCGCGGTGGCCACTCTTAGAGGAATGTCAGAATTAGGTGCGGACACATTGTTGTTGTATTTATTTTACAGAGGCGCCCCCCTCCCCCCGCCCGCCCGTGAGCCCGACGGCTTTAAGATACTGTTATAGCGAAACTTGGTTCGCTTCCCGCGCGATGCGGCGGCCAGATTAAAAACTGACGGGGCGGGGCGGAAGGCAAAGAGTTCAGCAGGATCAATGGCTCTGATATAAATTTGTGCTGACGCCGCGCGGCGATGGCGGCGGAGGTGCCACAGAGAGACGCGAAAAAACTTTTGTCGGCGGGGTTCGGGGATCATCCAGAAAGTATAACGTCCTTTACGAAATTGCCAAGTTCGGCCCAAATGCAAGCCGTCGCATAGCGCCTGGTAGGTAGGCATCATCTTGCCTGCTATGCACACGCGTGTACTGCGGGCTGGCCTACCCCGAGCATCGCAGGCGCCGAGCTCCCGTGATTTGCCGCATGAATCCTGAGAAAAACGGAGGGGGTGGGGGGAGACTTAACACGTTGACCGGGTACCAATAACGGCTTATTGTGTCCATACGTGTGGTCACGTGGGACTCAACGTGTTAACGAGTAGCCCGCAGACCTGGCCATCTTTGGATTGTCGGACGAACCGCGAAAGTGTGAAAGGCCATCTTTCCGAAGGTCACTCTTTACTTTTCCCCAATGCGTTTCGAATGTAATATTCTTAATTCTGGGGCGGTGTGGTCGAGGGCGGGGGAGGAGGAAAAAGTGAGTTAGGGGTGGCACTGACCTTCCTCTCCCGCCCCCGGGTTACACCGCCGCCCCCGGCCGCCACCCTCGGGCGCCGCCCCCAGCCGCCGCCCCCGGCCGCCGCGATGCTCGCCAGCAGCCTCCTCGCCTTACGCCGCCACCGGCCGACGCAACACTAAATCTCAATGTCTGAGGCTAACAAAATAATTAACACCTTCCAGCCGCGCCTCGTCGGGCGGCCAGCATTATATGAGGCGGCCCGGGAAATATGGCGTCGCGACGGGGGCGGAGAGAGAGGGAGATAGAG